TCATCGAAAACGGCCATTTTGTAACATGACGAAAAAGATGATATAACGCTTACCGCTTCAGTTTGTGATTCTCGTGGGAACCTGGGAAAATAACGAATGGATTATTTTATATATCAATGCATTAGGAACGGTGTCAGGTGTAGTACTTGCCCGGTGAAAATGTGCCCGGCCTTGTTAATTTTAAGAACGTTCCCGTTCTCTGTTCTCTTGCCATAACTTTTAAGATATATTTAAAAACCAAGATAGCGGATATGCAAAATTAGTGAACGAGTTTAATCTGCCGTATACGGTTACTGCGTGTCCTTTTAAATGGTTCATACTGACTTCCAGGTTTCAAATTTAAGGACTTTCCAGGAATTTTTTCCATGAAATTCAAGGACTTTTCAAGGACATTTTTCTGCATATTTCAGGGAAATAAACTATAATTAAGAACTAAAACATAAGAAAACAAATATTTTTTTTGTATTTTCACAACATGTTTACACAGCTATATGGTTTTACTGTTTATACATGAGAGGATTCTTTAATTTCTTTAAAGGATTTAACACATTCCAACACTTTCATTTCCAATTCTTTTGCATACATTTCTTTTTCTCGTCCTTTAGCACGTAAAGAATTTGAATGTGAAATGAAGCTTAAGTTAGACTCCTTTTCTGCTCTTTCTGATAAAGTATCTGCAGATTGAAAAAGAGAAAGTGCATCTGTTTGTGCTTGTTTTAGTTTTTTCTTTGGTGTTCAAGTTCATCTTCTGCTAACTTTCTTTTGTTTCTTTGTTCCTGTGTCCTTCCTTTCTCTTTTTCCTTCTCAAGATGTTCCATATACCTATGTCTGGCCCCTTGACAACTAACTAACAAATCTTTTGTAACAGACACATTTAAAACACCTCCTACACCGTGGACATGATCACAAATTAGCCTTTGGGCAACTACTGTTTTATCTTTCATATTTTCAGTTTCAACCTTTGCATTTACAGAAAAGCCACGTTCGACTGAAGCTTGTCCATGAGACGACAGAAGTATCATTTTGGTAATTCTGAAAATGTTGATATATTCTGGCTTTCCCATGTGTAAACTGTAGAAGACATCAAGCAAGTCTTGAATCCTCTGAAAATGGATTGAAAAGGTCTGACCCTATGATAGGAATGGCTTCCAAAAAGGTTGTATATTCAAGGACACAAGTATCACATTCATTTTCATGAATCCTGTTGAGACTGACTAACGTTTCTAAAAGCATATGCTTACAGATTTATTACATTTAACCATTTCTCTGGGATTCAGTACTGCTAAATTTTTGGATAAAGGACTTTTGTCACACACTTTTTTCACAAGTTCAAGAATGCATTTTTTACATTCCATTCGAAAATTCATTACTTGTCTGTCACTTAAATTGTGTTTCTTTTTTGCATTTTTCAGTGATCTAACAGCAGCAAAACCAATTTCTATTTTGTTATGTAGAAGATGTGTGTCAGTTACATCAAGATCTATTGATGTCAAACTTGAAACACCGTCAATGACCTCCTCCTTCAAACCCTGCTTAAGCATAGCTTTCACAATGCGTTGGAGTTCTGTGTACAGAAATGGGACCATAGGGCGATCAGTTTGAAAATTTCCCATGAAACCTGCCAACTGTTTGGTAACAAACAGAAAGAATTCCAACTTTGCTTTTATTAGTTTATCATTTACACCTTCCTTGATAGCCTCATATGAGTTGTAGTTTGGTTTATTAATAACATGTGATTCACATTTCTGCACATAAACTTTGAGTTTAGGGAGCAATTCAACCGCTCTCTCGGCTACAGGTACATTCTCCATCCATCTGTGACTAACAAATTTTGATGGCAGCATTGTGGTTCCAGTTACACAAATATACTAAACAAAAAAAAGAAAGGTAACACTACTTTATTCTGTGATTAATTAATTAACCCCTTCATAAATCCTTACCAATCATGTACGAATAAAGTAATTGATCAATTCTAATAAAACTGCAGTCATGGTTCATTATAAAACTTTGCGTTCAGTTGATTTTATTTGACTGTAAAGGACGTTGGGGTCAATTTCAAAGGTAACTACATTAGTAACGGGTATGGCCACCGTTTGCGAAGTAAACAGCATTGCAGCGTCATCGCATGGAACTCGTAAACCGGCGGATAATTCGAGGAGAGATGTTGTTCCATTCAGCGATCAAGGCTTGGGCCAGCTCCTGCAAGTCGCCCAAGGACGTCCCAGACATGCTCAATCGGTGCCAAATCAGGTGAATTAGATGGCCAATCTAACACCTGTACGTTATTCTGCTGCAAGAAAGTTCTGCTGACGCGACTGGTGTGCGCTGGTGCGTTATCCTGTTGAAAAATGGCGCCAACGCCATGGCGTTTTAAGAATGGCAGAACCACTGGTCTTAAAATTTCGTCCCGATATCGAGTGCCGGTTAAATTGCCATTTAACACAACAAGCCTGATACGAGTCCCCCAAAAATACCACCCCAAACCATTACACTTCCGCCGCCAAAGCGGTCCCGTTCTGTGACGCAGCAGTTCGCAAAACGCTCCCCTCGTCGCCTCCACACTCTGGACGCCGCGCTTTCAATTGGTAGGCCCTCAATCTGTTGCGGACTTTTAGGGGAGACACACGACAACCAAACAATGTCCTTGTAGTCTCTACTGCGGTTACGAATCGATTGCGCAAGTGTATCAATCGTATACGACGGTCATCCCTGGCGGTCGTTTTACGGGGTCGGCCGCTTCGGGGACGATCGGATGTTGACCTAGTTTGGTTTAAACGACTTATCAACTGGCAAATTGTCTTAACACTGCAACCAAAATGCCGTGCAACTCGACGGCGAGACTCCCCAGCCTGGATCATGCCTACAGCCCTTTCTCTCTGTACTTGTGACAAACGGGACATGATGATAAAGTTGATAGATAGCAAGATTCGGTGATTTCTAAGTCCTAAGGATCTAAGAAACAGTTGTCAGTTTGAATGTTTATGAAATTCAAGCGAAGATACAAGTTAGTCGCAAAAAAACCTCCTGCAGCTCTTTCGCTAATACAGACTTGAATGATTTTGGTAACCCCCTTGGATTTTGTAGTGTAAAACATTACCATTTTCTAATATTGCACAAACATAATTTTGTTTTCACTCATTTACAGGTATTCGCCCAGGAGATATGTTAACCTTTCTTTTTTTGTTGAGTATATAATCCTCTCTTTTAGCTGGACTATCAAAAATTTGAAATGAAAATCTGCAGTATTCTACATAAAAATGTAAATTAAACATTGAATTTATACCATAGCATGCACCATTTCTATTTTCATAAATAAAATTTGATGACTGCGTTAATTATCAATATTAATGCACATTTTTCGCTCGTCAATTATTTTGACAACTACGTATGTATATACACATGCAGTTAACTACATACCGGTATAAATGTACATCATGCATGGGATTTATTTAGAATAACATGTACCCATGTATATCATGACATTAATTAGTGACATAATATATTTCAATTATTGATGATACAGTTAACAACTTATCAATTCATGTCATTGCTGTACAATTTTACATGTATATAAACTTCATTCTTGCATGTAATTACCTTAAACAGATAGTATAATGAGGACAAAAAAGTTGACATGTTCCACTCTGTTTTCTGAAATCCAGTCTTGAATGCGTTATGTACTATGTGGAGTCCACATGAACCATTGTTAATCAAATCTACATCATGGTCATTCTTCATTCTGTTCCTCAATAATCCATAGAATTTCCAGTTTACATTTGGACCATCCATCGAAACCTGCAGGACATGTTTAAGATGATTTGTTTCAAGTCCACTCAAGCCCTCCAAAAAGTGCTTTAAAACATCTTCAGAGGAACAGTGTCCCATAAATTGGGAGTTAAAATACCTGGAACTGATACTATCAGATTCACCATCCTAGAGTCTTAATAAAATGTCCATCTGTTTCAACTGCATTTTTTTGTTCAGACTCTCGTCAAACATTATCACGAAGTCACCAGTAAGTTTCTTCTGTAACAAAGACTTAAGATAGTCCGCTATCCCAAACACGCACATGTATCTAGATTTCGCCTCCCCACAGGAAAATCCACTCGCTATGTTACTATCACTAAACGTGACTTTAAATAACTTTGAAACATTTTCGTTTGACTTATACGAGATGCGAGATACTATTGTAACCCACACAATTTCTGCTTTCAACACGTCATTTTTTGTTACGAAGTCAGTCATTCTCATTGTCACAGACGATCGTTCTGCACTACTTGTAGTACTTGATGACGGCTGAGGATTATTCGGCGACGTTTCCATCGATTCATTTTCTTTTTTAACAGGAATTTTAGACTGTTTTGACATAGATGCGGCAAGTGTTTTATGCTTTTCTGATTTTTCGTGGCTTTTTAATGCCGACTCGCCCATCTTTCCAACATCTAACGCTTTCTCACACAAAGTACAGCGAGCTTTATTTCGCTCTCCTTTGATCCCCCGTACCCACACATATCGCGTTTCCCACTGTTTGTTTGTAAACACACACATGGAAAGGCATATCATCGATAGAAAACTAGGCCAAGCGCAAAGATGAGTCACTGCCAACACACACGTGTACATTCAAAATGGCAGTTCATAATCAATAACATTCGGAACACTTTTACTTTTAGGTAGCTCATGTAGAAGAACACAGAGATTAATGTCTGGGTCATTGCTACACATATGGTAAAACATTGAAACGAAAGTGAAAAACAACGATGAAATACGGAGAAAAAAACGACAGTGCTTACAGAAAGCTATTCTGGCAAAAATTGATTTAATTCAAGGACTTTTCAAGATAATTAGCTTAGTTCCCAGGACTTTCAAGGTATTTTTTTTAAATTCCAAGACTTTTACAGGCATCAGCTGAAATGCATGGACTTTTCATTTGCGTACGAACCATGTTTTATTATATGATAAAAAGTATTTTATAGCTAGATTGGATAAGAAACCGTTCAGGATACACTTTAATAACGAAAGTGAAAGTAAAGGTTATTCCAAGGAGTCCGTGGTCATTCGGAGAAATACAAGTATTTCAACCAAGTTGTAATACATCCTGTATGTGATTATAAACAGATAACCCCACAAAGGTTTGCAAGTATATATTAGTGAAAACAGTGGAATAAATAACTCTTACCAGTTACTATGGATACTCCGATATATTTCTATCATAATACATCACATACATCTGAAACTGCGATAAGAGAAGATGATATCTTGGAGCCACAGGTTTATAATCCTCCTCAAAATTGGATGAGATTAGTAAGTCATCCAGTACATGTACCAGACGGGGTGTTTTTCTGTGCCACACTCTACTTTGGGGATCTCCCAACTATTTCACCATATGGCGAGAGACGAGTGAGGATTCCTATCGATGATGTCTTGCGACAACTCGGGGGGAACGTTAAACTGTATTCAGGGGAACCAACTCAAGCTGGAAACAACACTTATGTCAGGATGATGCTTGTGAAAGAAGATGACGACTTTGATGTATTACAGCATATGAAGCAAGAAAATATAGCCAGTAATCAGTGGTTAAGACTGGCTGGAGGATACCAAGTTGCATGTAGACCAACATGGGTGTACATCTATGTTCCCTATCCAATTAGTGTCAAAGGCTGTTCTTGGGATACAGGTATGTATCTACAATTAAATGTATATCAACATATACGGTTGATTTGTATATATACAATAGTACTTGACGGTTCATTCTCAAATTCCACCCCACCTTCACAGTTCAAACAACAAAAAGTAGAATTGCTGTTCTGTCAAACCTGGTTGAAAAAGGTCAGTCAAGGGTCCAGATCAATGAGGTCTTTAAGTGTTTATGAAAGTGCCCTTAAAAAGAGCTTGCATTAACATAAAGCAATGTACAGCTGTAATAGGAAGAGTAAAGGAAATATTCGATCTTTAGCTGGACACATTACCGCTCAACCATACAGGCTAAAGGGTGACTTGTTCTTTAAACTTCTACACAATTCCCTCCTTCACAAAGTCTTCGACTCCAAAGACAACAACAACCCAGGTCCAACATCTGAAAGGAAGCATCTTGATCTCCTATAGATTCTACTCTTGGACAAATCTGCCATAAGAAGGAGTAATGGGAAAACATCGCGCTGTCCCCGCTGGGGTTCGAACTAGTGACCCTTCAGCCTCTACCTAGACACTCTACCACTCAACTAAATGGTGATCCTCATTAAACATGGCTACTAAGGCAACCTGTTTATGTGTGAATTTGTTACAAGTGGACAGTAAAAGTACCGGCCTTTATAGATGGGTACTTTCTTTTAAAGAGGACGCCTTAATAATTTTGTGTTTGCGATATAGAGGTAGCCTTCAGACAGGTGACTTTTATATAGAGATGACCTTTACAAACAGTTGGTTTCTATATTGAGGTAGTCTATATAGACAGGTGTTTTATCTATAAAGGTGATCTTACAGATAGTTGTATCCCATAGATAAGCCTACACTGCAGATTCGACTTCACTTTGTAGGAAAAAATGTTTTAAAGTTATAATGCTTGAATTTAGTTCGTAGGTATCTTAATGATTGCTGTCTTTTTTTTCTTGCAGTGAAACTGATCTAGTGGTGGATTACCTAAAGGTGCCCCTACCATCATCAAAGGGATTTTATCTGACGAAACATTTCTACAAATCTTAACATCACTGAAATAGTATGATTGATTTGAACTATATATTCAAATTTTAGATGGGGTCTCTCATGTGTACTAATAAGGTGTCTATATGAAAAAAAGGATAAAGTACATAAGTATGCCAGTATTACACATGGAATTGCTTCAACGTAATTGAATGGATTTGATCCATTCTCAGAGTCATGATAGTTCAAAAAAGGAAAATTGAAAATTCATTTTCATTACCAGGTATATGCTTCTGTACGTCTTATAACACTACAATGATTACCATCTATGTAAAACACTGTATTAATGCTGTTATCATGATCAATTATTATAAAACTTTTGTTGTTTAATAATCAAGTTACAGAGACTGCCATATTTCAAATTGACTTAGCTTAAACAATCATTGGAACTAAAATTTACTTATTTTTTATATTTTAAAAATAGTTTTTCTGTTATTGAAACATGAATTTTGATTCAAATTTTTCTTAGTCTAGATTTTTACCTATATTATTTTTACTGTATATTTTGGAGCAATACCTATCTGCTTTGCTTTTGCCAGCTGTGATCTTTTGCACATATGTGTTGAATTTAGTCTTCTTGCAACATGTTTAGCAATTGTAAATGTTGTCAATTTAATTTATTTTACCAATTTACAAGTATCATTTTTCAGATTTATCAAATACACAATTTATACACAATAAACTTAATGTTCATATATAGTCATTGTGGAGCTTCCTTTCTTATTATAACGTGTGATGAGTACTGTTACCAAAATTTGATTAAAACCTATTCTGTTATGGATTAAATAAAATCCGGAGTAAGACAATAATGATATACATTTTCACATAACCATTACTCTAACTGAATCCATTAAACTGTTTTATTGTGACTACCTGGTTACATCCCGGCACATGCTGATTGTATCTCATGTAGATTTTAAATTTCTATCTCAATACTTATCATATGGAATTATAAGCTGAATGAAATTTGTCGGTAGAATACTACCTTATGTATGATAGTTCTGGGTGACGTAGAATTCAAGTTCAGGAGTACGATACATGTAGTTATGTGTGGGGTAGAATTCCAGTGGTGGAGTATGATAGTTCTGGGTGGGTTAGAATTCCATCGGTGGAATATGATAGTTCTGGGTGACGTAGAATTCCAGTGGTGGAGTATGATAGTTCTGGGTGACATAGAATTCCAGTGGTGGAGTATGATAGTTCTGGGTGGGGTAGAATTCTAGTGATGGAGTATAGGGCGATCAGTTTGAAAATTTCCCATGAAACCTGCCAACTGTTTGGTAACAAACAGAAAGAATTCCAACTTTGCTTTTATTAGTTTATCATTTACACCTTCCTTGATAGCCTCATATGAGTTGTAGTTTGGTTTATTAATAACATGTGATTCACATTTCTGCACATAAACTTTGAGTTTAGGGAGCAATTCAACCGCTCTCTCGGCTACAGGTACATTCTCCATCCATCTGTGACTAACAAATTTTGATGGCAGCATTGTGGTTCCAGTTACACAAATATACTAAACAAAAAAAAGAAAGGTAACACTACTTTATTCTGTGATTAATTAATTAACCCCTTCATAAATCCTTACCAATCATGTACGAATAAAGTAATTGATCAATTCTAATAAAACTGCAGTCATGGTTCATTATAAAACTTTGCGTTCAGTTGATTTTATTTGACTGTAAAGGACGTTGGGGTCAATTTCAAAGGTAACTACATTAGTAACGGGTATGGCCACCGTTTGCGAAGTAAACAGCATTGCAGCGTCATCGCATGGAACTCGTAAACCGGCGGATAATTCGAGGAGAGATGTTGTTCCATTCAGCGATCAAGGCTTGGGCCAGCTCCTGCAAGTCGCCCAAGGACGTCCCAGACATGCTCAATCGGTGCCAAATCAGGTGAATTAGATGGCCAATCTAACACCTGTACGTTATTCTGCTGCAAGAAAGTTCTGCTGACGCGACTGGTGTGCGCTGGTGCGTTATCCTGTTGAAAAATGGCGCCAACGCCATGGCGTTTTAAGAATGGCAGAACCACTGGTCTTAAAATTTCGTCCCGATATCGAGTGCCGGTTAAATTGCCATTTAACACAACAAGCCTGATACGAGTCCCCCAAAAATACCACCCCAAACCATTACACTTCCGCCGCCAAAGCGGTCCCGTTCTGTGACGCAGCAGTTCGCAAAACGCTCCCCTCGTCGCCTCCACACTCTGGACGCCGCGCTTTCAATTGGTAGGCCCTCAATCTGTTGCGGACTTTTAGGGGAGACACACGACAACCAAACAATGTCCTTGTAGTCTCTACTGCGGTTACGAATCGATTGCGCAAGTGTATCAATCGTATACGACGGTCATCCCTGGCGGTCGTTTTACGGGGTCGGCCGCTTCGGGGACGATCGGATGTTGACCTAGTTTGGTTTAAACGACTTATCAACTGGCAAATTGTCTTAACACTGCAACCAAAATGCCGTGCAACTCGACGGCGAGACTCCCCAGCCTGGATCATGCCTACAGCCCTTTCTCTCTGTACTTGTGACAAACGGGACATGATGATAAAGTTGATAGATAGCAAGATTCGGTGATTTCTAAGTCCTAAGGATCTAAGAAACAGTTGTCAGTTTGAATGTTTATGAAATTCAAGCGAAGATACAAGTTAGTCGCAAAAAAACCTCCTGCAGCTCTTTCGCTAATACAGACTTGAATGATTTTGGTAACCCCCTTGGATTTTGTAGTGTAAAACATTACCATTTTCTAATATTGCACAAACATAATTTTGTTTTCACTCATTTACAGGTATTCGCCCAGGAGATATGTTAACCTTTCTTTTTTTGTTGAGTATATAATCCTCTCTTTTAGCTGGACTATCAAAAATTTGAAATGAAAATCTGCAGTATTCTACATAAAAATGTAAATTAAACATTGAATTTATACCATAGCATGCACCATTTCTATTTTCATAAATAAAATTTGATGACTGCATTAATTATCAATATTAATGCACATTTTTCGCTCGTCAATTATTTTGACAACTACGTATGTATATACACATGCAGTTAACTACATACCGGTATAAATGTACATCATGCATGGGATTTATTTAGAATAACATGTACCCATGTATATCATGACATTAATTAGTGACATAATATATTTCAATTATTGATGATACAGTTAACAACTTATCAATTCATGTCATTGCTGTACAATTTTACATGTATATAAACTTCATTCTTGCATGTAATTACCTTAAACAGATAGTATAATGAGGACAAAAAAGTTGACATGTTCCACTCTATTTTCTGAAATCCAGTCTTGAATGCGTTATGTACTATGTGGAGTCCACACGAACCAATGTTAATCAAATCTACATCATGGTCATTCTTCATTCTGTTCCTCAATAATCCATAGAATTTCCAGTTTACATTTGGACCATCCATCGAAACCTGCAGGACATGTTTAAGATTATTTGTTTCAAGTCCACTCAAGCCCTCCAAAAAGTGCTTTAAAACATCTTCAGAGGAACAGTGTCCCATAAATTGGGAGTTAAAATACCTGGAACTGATACTATCAGATTCACCATCCTAGAGTCTTAATAAAATGTCCATCTGTTTCAACTGCATTTTTTTGTTCAGACTCTCGTCAAACGTTATCACGAAGTCACCAGTAAGTTTCTTCTGTAACAAGGACATAAGATAGTCCGCTATCCCAAACACGCACATGTATCTAGATTTCGCCTCCCCACAGGAAAATCCACTCGCTATGTTACTATCACTAAACATGACTTTAAATAACTTTGAAACATTTTCGTTTGACTTATACGAGATGCGAGATACTATTGTAACCCACACAATTTCTGCTTTCAACACGTCATTTTTTGTTACGAAGTCAGTCATTCTCATTGTCACAGACGATCGTTCTGCACTACTTGTAGTACTTGATGACGGCTGAGGATTATTCGGCGACGTTTCCATCGATTCATTTTCTTTTTTAACAGGAATTTTAGACTGTTTTGACATAGATGCGGCAAGTGTTTTATGCTTTTCTGATTTTTCGTGGCTTTTTAATGCCGACTCGCCCATCTTTCCAACATCTAACGCTTTCTCACACAAAGTACAGCGAGCTTTATTTCGCTCTCCTTTGATCCCCCGTACCCACACATATCGCGTTTCCCACTGTTTGTTTGTAAACACACACATGGAAAGGCATATCATCGATAGAAAACTAGGCCAAGCGCAAAGATGAGTCACTGCCAACACACACGTGTACATTCAAAATGGCAGTTCATAATCAATAACATTCGGAACACTTTTACTTTTAGGTAGCTCATGTAGAAGAACACAGAGATTAATGTCTGGGTCATTGCTACACATATGGTAAAACATTGAAACGAAAGTGAAAAACAACGATGAAATACGGAGAAAAAAACGACAGTGCTTACAGAAAGCTATTCTGGCAAAAATTGATTTAATTCAAGGACTTTTCAAGATAATTAGCTTAGTTCCCAGGACTTTCAAGGTATTTTTTTAAATTCCAAGACTTTTACAGGCATCAGCTGAAATGCATGGACTTTTCATTTGCGTACGAACCATGTTTTATTATATGATAAAAAGTATTTTATCGCTAGATTGGATAAGAAACCGTTCAGGATACACTTTAATAACGAAAGTGAAAGTAAAGGTTATTCCAAGGAGTCCGTGGTCATTCGGAGAAATACAAGTATTTCAACCAAGTTGTAATACATCCTGTATGTGATTATAAACAGATAACCCCACAAAGGTTTGCAAGTATATATTAGTGAAAACAGTGGAATAAATAACTCTTACCAGTTACTATGGAAACTCCGATATATTTCTATCATAATACATCACATACATCTGAAGCTGCGATAAGAGAAGATGATATCTTGGAGCCACAGGTTTATAATCCTCCTCAAAATTGGATGAGATTAGTAAGTCATCCAGTACATGTACCAGACGGGGTGTTTTTCTGTGCCACACTCTACAATGGGAATCTCCCAACTATTTCACCATATGGCGAGAGACGAGTGAGGATTTGTATCGATGATGTCTTGCAACAACTCGGGGGGAACGTTAAACTGTATTCAGGGGAACCAACTCGGGCTGGAAACAACACTTATGTCAGGATGATGCTTGTGAAAGAAGATGACGACTTTGATGTATTACAGCATATGAAGCAAGAAAATATAGCCTTTAATTGGTGGTTAAGACTGGCTGGAGGATACAAAGTTGCATGTAGACCAACATGGGTGTACATCTATGTCCCCTATCCAATTAGTGTCAAAGGCTGTTATTGGGATAGAGGTATGTATCTACAATTAAATGTATATCAACATATACGGTTGATTTGTATATATACAATAGTACTTGACGGTTCATTCTCAAATTCCACCCCACCTTCACAGTTCCCACAACAAAAAGTAGAATTGCTGTTCTGTCAAACCTGGTTGAAAAAGGTCAGTCAAGAGTCCAGATCAATGAGGTCTTTAAGTGTTTATGAAAGTGCCCTTAAAAAGAGCTTGCATTAACATAAAGCAATGTACAGCTGTAATAGGAAGAGTAAAGGAAATATTTGATCTTTAGCTGGACACATTACCGCTCAACCATACAGGCTAAAGGGTGACTTGTTCTTTAAACTTCTACACAATTCCCTCCTTCACAAAGTCTTCGACTCCAAAGACAACAACAA